ACCTTAGATTGGAGGAAGCTAGTTGGTAGATTTGTTCTCGATCAGGCATGACCATAACTGTTTGCTATGCCTGCATTGGCTAAATAGCCGATCGCCTATGCCTTAACGCCTATAGTGTGTCTCCATGATTCTGTTAAATGTGTATAGATCTGTGTACTTTAAAGGTTTGATTTGTTGTCTTTATCATGGCTGTCATCAATCTGGTCGAACCCCACTGTTAGAGATAGCAGGTTAAGTCTAATGAGTTTATAGATTTGTCTATGTTAAATAGTCGATTGTTCACATGTTGTAGTTCTTTTTCACCTGAATCGCCCTCGAGCTTTCACACACATAGCATGTCTTTTGGAAAGCCTGTCAACGTATAGATGGTTTTACAAATTCTTCAGTTTTGGTTTGTTATTATCATCATAGCTGCCATCGATCTGGTCGAACCTCACAGTTGATGGTAACAGATTAGATTCAGAGCGTTTGTAGGTCCATTTATACTAAACAGTCGATTCGTTCGCATGCTATGTCCTTTCTCGTTAGATTCATCGGCTCAATGCTTTACACTGGTAATATCCACCTAGCTGATGATTTTGCTTATATCCACGTGCATTGTACCTGTCAACATAAAATCAATCGTGATCCACTAGCTTCACAGTCCATAACAGCCGATTTCTTCGCGAATCGGTCGTTTAGTCGATTTTCCCGTCTGGCTGCTCCCGAAGTGGCACACTTGGAACTATCTGTGCAAAACCGACATGTTCCACCTTAAATTACTGATAAACTTTCTCTCCTTCTCAATTGTAGGTCAAATTGACTGGCACGCCTCCGGAGGAATATGTAGGATCGACTAACCCTATGTTGAAGCCAAGCGGATCTCTAGGCTCATCCTAAGCAGATCCTTCCAGCTTGTTGTGTGCCCGACGCATTGACATGTTTTTGCGCTGACAATGCCTTATGAGAGTTTTGTCATGCTCTTAAAATCAAGATCACGTACACACCACCTACATATGCACTACTCTTACACTAGGGGTAGGCGCAAAAACATGCATTCCATCTAGATCCACCCAAAATGTTTTACTCCTACACTGGGAGAAAACGCCAAAAACATATTTGATAGGTTTTGTATCAAATAAATGCTCCAACTTCTTGTTGTTATCTCTCAAAAGTTTTGTTGCAGAAAAGAGGCATGGACTATGCAAAAGTTATTCATAAAAAAAAGAAAAAGAAGAATTGAGAAAAAAATGGACAAGTGTCCGAGATATCAAAACAATGGGTACTTAGATGCCCACCTGAAAAAAAATGATGATGAATAAGATAGCCCCTGCTCTCTAGCAAGTGTTTCCAAGTTCCAAATGAATGATATGTTTTCAAAGAGCATAGTAGAATTAAGCTAGCCACCACATTTATATCCACCACACACATGCACATCTTGATTTGATTGTATGACTCAACTCTCTTTGGATTCAAGGTTTAACTTTACAATATATGTATCGCAAGTATGCTCTCTCATACATTTACCACTCCTATGAGCTCCATATGAGCCTTAGTTGTAGGAAAAGAAAAGGCATAACATCACTATTGCCTTGGTAAGGATCCACAAATACCATATATATGAGAGACTTGAGAGTGTCATACAATCGAATCTCTGAGTTTTATTTTGAAAACTTGCAAAAACTCCGAAATAATGGTTGAACAAAGAACTTGAGACATATTGCTTGACTTGATCATTCTGTCCTTCAATTGCTCAAGACCCAAGTGAAAGTTTAAAAGCCCCATGGTTGAAGGTAATATGGGTAAGTTTGAAAGTCAGATCAATGGATTTTAATCCAGAGGAGAATTCTTTGTTGAACGCATATGTAGTTTTGAGGAGTGAAAACATTGATGTAACTCCTGATCCATTGCTAAGTCTGGCATTGCTCAGGCATGAGCAAAGGTTAAGCTTAGGGGAGTTTGTTGACGGTAGTTACCATCCATCATAAACCGTCAATAAAACATGTATAAGGGCATAAATATCATCACCAAAACAGACTTCGGGGTTTAAACTAACAATTTTCACGAGTTTTGGTGAATCTGTGTTTTCTGTAGGGTTTACTTAGAAAATCGTCAAGGTGGACCTACATGTCGGGATTAATTGCACTTATCTGCAGCAAAACAGACACCAGAAGACTCGAGAGGACCCCACACAGAGGCAGAGCCCGAGTGGCTACCAGGTGGGGCTGGTCGGCGCCACCTATAGGCTGCCCGGCCCTCCAGGGCCCACATGTCAGTCTCTGTTGTTATGTCGATTCACCACCACCTTAAGGATTGCATCTACGCCATTTATTTAAGTCGGTTTGATCCGAGAGCTCAGGATTGATGCTTCGGCCTATATAACCGGCCCCTGTCCCCCTTCAGAGCACGCTGCCATAAGTCAAGATCAGACTAGAAATTAGGGTTTATAGAGAGAAGAGAAGAGAGTTCTAATTCTTCAAGTTTCTAGTAGAGGCTAGCTAGCAAGGTTCAAGTAGAGTGTGGGTTATTGCTCAGGATTCTGGATCTGCCGTTTGAAGACTGGTATAGCCATTGTATCTTTTTATTTATGACTTTGTGCTACTTCAATATTATGATGCTATTTATTATGTTCCAAGTTTGTTCTAGTTATATACTTGATATAGTTGTGATTTATAATGAGTTTATGTATATGTTCGCAAAGCGCTTAGCCCAAGATGCGCGTGGGTTAAGTGGTTGACATTATGTAAGCATGGTGCTTATATATTGTTTACCTGTGGATGCATTTTGCACTCTGGGTCATTTGGTAGATCGTGGATGTGACACTCCCATTGAGTCCTTTGTAGTCCACTTCCCGTTTGTATAGCAAGTAGAACATCATATGTAAGGGAGACAAGCTCGTTCTTGATCTTCCTTAGTAATGTTCCTTATGCATAGATCCAAAGTTAATTATGCTATAGATGAGAGTGTATATACTTGGTGTACAAAAGACTTAGTAAATAAGGAATGACTTAGGTATCTTTTTAATCTTACCGAATCTCCTGCCTAGCCATACTACATTCTATGAGTCTCTATTTCTATCTCTGAAATTATTATCAATACTTCATACTTATCATTTATTGTCATTTGACTTACCCCTGCCATAGCATGAGAGTGGTTTTATCATAAGTATATATATTTGTCAATATCTCTTTGCCAACAATCCCAAAGCTCCTCTCTGTGGATAAAATATAAATAATGATACTCGGTATACTCCCAGGTGAAATGCTACAATGGTATATTACCTATGCGCTTGCGGATACTTGACTTTAACATATATAATTCTCTGAGTTTACAAGTGTCACTAATAATTACCAACCACGCATTTCTAGCATCATGCTAGGCATGACAACTTAGTAAAGAGTGATGCTAAGAAATATCAACAGTCCCACAGGTACACGTGATACGTAAGCCGTCGGGTCCCAAAGGTCGGATGGTCCCCACATGTACATGTGACACGCAAACCGGTCGGGTCCTACAGGTCGGATGGAGAAGCGTCCCGTAGGTACATGTCGGATGGAGAAAGGACCGAGCGGAGACTTTTATGACGAATTGTAAACGACACGGATGAGTAACTACAGGTCCCACAAGTACACGTCGGATGGAGAAAGGACCGAGCGGGAGACTTTATGACGAATTGGAAGCGTCATGGATGAATAACTGTAGGTCCTATAGGCACAAGTCGGATGGAGAAAGAACAGTGAGGAGATTTATGATAAAGTACCATTCGTTACAGATCAAAAACTTCGTCACAGATATGTAATTAGTTCAATGACGTAGCCCTGGTCATCACAGTTCTAAAGATGATTGTCACAGGTAAGTCACGCAAGTGATCTATGACGAAACCCTGCGCTCTTCTATGACGTTTCTTGTGACGATATCTGATTTCGTCATAGATAGCGAGGGTTAGAGGATCATCACCACGGATCTATGATGAAACGTAAATATTAGTCATAAAAAGCGATGTTCTATGACGGTTTCGGATTTGTCATTAAGATTTTCGTCATAGAAGTTGATATTTCTAGTAGTGGTTCCAAATATTTATTTTAAAATCAGATGAACATAAAATTGGGAGGATGAATATCTCAAATAAACACAAATGTCTTATTGAAGTGGTTAGGGGACAAACGTGTGAAGCCTGATGTTTGATAGCAGATCTACCTATGCGATTAATGGATTGCTCATGGTCTTTATGTCATGTTGTATGTAATATCTTATTTCTAGATTAAAGCATACCGTAAAATGACTAAATATTTCGTTGTTTGGTTCCTTTCATTTACTAGTCTACTATATCTAAATAGGAGGAACTCATTAGCATGCGATTTCGTGCAGCCACATCATCAGAAAGACCCCACAACCACTAGTCCGCTCCCTCCCATGTCCATCAGGCCATCCATATTCATAACTCAGGTGACTCTCCGTTCACATTCCCCAACCGGACAGTGGTACACGAACTGAAGAGCCATTCCTGTCCGTTGGTGATTGGTCTCCCTCTGTCTGCTCGGATTCCACCACCAGCAGCTGCTGCTTCACCTACGCATGCACCGCCTTGCGCCTACCAGCTCCGCCTCCGTGTCTTTATAAGCTAGGAACATGCACGCGGCTCACACACACAGACACGAACGCTCAACGGAGGCATGGCGCCCCAGCTTCGCCCACTCCATGTCCTTGCCTGAGGGTCTTCGTCGTCGAGTACCAAATCAACCCCCACTCGAGTCCTCTATGGCCGCGTACCACGCCCGCTCTGCCAGCCTCCCGTGCCGCTCCCACCCCATCATCGCGCACTTCCACACCCACATCGGCGCCGTGAGCGCCTGGGCGAAGGAGCCGGCCACCTTCAGCACCGCCTCGGGTCTCGCGCTCGCCAATCTCCTCGACCTCCACGAGGCGCCGGCCGCGCACTTTTCTCAGCCGGCGGCAACGGCGACCGCCTCCTAGACGCCTTCTTCCACCTCGCTGACGCGCACAGCAGCTCCCAGGAGGCGATGGTGCAGCTGAAGCGGGACGTGGCCAAGGCCCTAGCCGTCGTCCGCCAGTCCACCACGACGGCGTGCGCCTTCTCCACGCTCAGGTTGCAGCACAAGGCCGGCAAGGACCTTGCCCGCCTCGCGGCCTCTGCTAGGGACAGCACCAACGCCAGCAGTCCCTGTCCCTCTCGCCTCGGCCTTGGCGGCGCGGCAGAACCACGGAAGTCAAGGTGGCCGGGCTGCTAGCCGAGGCTGCCGCGACCACGGCCGCGGTGTTCAGCACCTTCGCGGCCACGTCGGTGTTGGCCTCCGCCGTGACGTGCTCCTGCAAGAATTCCTGGAGTCTTATTTTGTGTGAGACTAGGAGATGGATTCAAGGGATTTTTGTAGAGTTCATCCAGGAACGGAGAGGTGCGAAATTATTCTCACGCGCAAAGGAAGTCAGAGGGGAAGGGGCCGTCGGCTCATCCGCTCATGCTGTTGTACAGTATTTTACTCGAGAATATGTCCCACGTTGTGACCGAAAACAGGAGTATCGGTGTAGCGCCGAGGACTCGGGTGAAAGGACGTTTGGAACCTCAGTACACTAGACTGTATGCATGGTAGTTCAATCATTTCCCCTTTTTTTCTTTTTTCATTCTTTTTTATTTTCAACTCTAATATTTAAAAGTTGCTACATGATTTAGGGCAACACTACAAAGTTCCCGCAGCGACGTGCGGGGTATCATCTGGTGATAAGAGTAGTGATGCCTCCGTATCAAGAATACGTCTCGAGGGAGAGAAATGGCGCATCCTAATTTCTCCTCAATTTGGGCATCCACCCGCTTGGGGGATCCTGCATGGTAAGCATCCTTTCTCTGCTAACGCAGCTAGCTATGAGCACAATTTGGATGAATTTAGCGACGGTGAGGGAGGGGAAGCACTGGTGAGAGAGGGGAGGTCGATGCCATGGACGGGTTTGGGGTGGACGCAGTGAATACAGGAAGAAATTTGGGCAGAGCAGCGTGGGCATGGCAGACATGAGAGGGGTTTAGGGGCTGTTTGGAAGACATGTTTTTAGACCAAAACTCCTGTAAATTACAGGCCCTAATTATTTTACACAAATTTTACAACCGGTTTGGCCTAATAGCGTCGGAAAAAATATAAGCATCTGAGGAGGTCTGGAAAATAATACGACAACTATCGGGTCCCTCCTCCGCTCCTCGTCCACGTTGCCGCGACTGGACCTTCGAAGCGGAGCACATGGCGATTACACGGTCGCCATTGAGGAGCTCATCGGCCAAATTCCCCGCGCCGCCACATCGGCGCCATTTGTTAATTGCTCACCCATACCAATAGGATCATCCGCTTCCGCCGCCGCCTTGTAGCTTGTTGATTTGACTCCAATCTGCAGCGATACCTCTCTTCATCCTTTGTCGCGACTGGCCTCGATTCACGCCGTCAATTAGATGGGATGACTCGTGATGCGGCGGAGCCCTCGATGCCGAGGATTACTATCACCTCGGCGCAACAGGCCCATCGAATCATCACCCGTGCACTGCTCTTAGTCCTTGTGATCTGCTAATTTGCATCTATTGTGCTGTGATGGTAAGTTCGTCCTCTTTTGCAAGGATGGCTTCCCATGGATGACATCGACAGCAAGCTCTTCCTGCAAGCCCAAATTGATGCTTTGGTCTGAACTCTCTATGGTCTATGCCTCGAGCCCTCGATTTAAGTTCTGGATTTCTGATCTGAAACTTGTCCAAGGTTGCTCTCAAAACTGAAGTTTGGTCTGATCTTTTACTATGCTTTGTTTTGAAATTTCAGTGATTGACGCAATGGTCATTCTCACTAGCTTGATCTAAATTCCATGGATAAATTTCATTCTTGAGCATGTTGTGCAAGCATAAGATTCAATGCATCGCAGTTGTTTGCAAATTCAGAATACGTGCAGAACCTGAACCAATTGGAATGGTAATTGAATGGCTGCATGTGTGTGAATGTTATTTGCAGTTCATATTCAACAGATATTTGCATAGCAGGTTTTCTCTGCACCCCAAACAGCAAGTGTTACCGGTGAAAAATATTACCTCTGTATCCTTGTGCACAAAGAATTACAGATGGAATGCGCTTCCAGGTGACAAACAATACAATGTTTCCAAACAGGGCCTTAGATGACTGGATCGATTCTTGTGATAGCGTAGTTGGTGTTGCGTGTGTGTTGAAGCTCCTTTTTTTTTTTTTTGCCTTGCACCATAGTCTATTCACGCGTATTGAACTTTGTGATCTGATTGAAGTAATGTAACTGTTGTTGGCCTACTGCAGCTGCTAGTTCTGATGCATGTTTGTCTTGCTCCTCAATCTGATTGAATTATATAGCTAAGTGCAGAGGTATATTGACTATAATTTTTAGTTCCGTGCTGTGCATGTATATGGCTTTCATATCGAAAATAACTGTACCAAATGGAACATTCTGTCTACTGAATGATGATACCAAAAAGAACATTTGTGTCCATGTGTATGTGAACCTTGTATGATGCTCTCAGTCTCCTATTTTAATTACATGCAGCTATGGGTGTTTTGTTAAAATATCGCGCTTTATTTGGTTTAATTATAGTCTACTTTTTCTGTTCACAGGAGCAGTTGAAGCAATTTAGTCATGTAAGCCAAAAGGCTCTTGACCAATATTTGAACTTAACAGAACAACGCGAACAATTGGAGAGAAGGCGAGCCCAACTTGATGCTGGTGATGAATGGTGAGGTGAGTTGACAGTATGTGAACATGCGTTTCATATGTTCCATATTTGAACTCTGGCATATTACAATATGTTGTGAACAAATGAGCTGAAATCTTGGTTACATGTGGTTTGTTATCTGTTTCATTCAGACCCGAGATGCTTCGGCTCAACAAGAAATAAAATAGCGAGAGAAGCATTATTATATTTTTGTTTGAATCATAAAAATATTATAATATATTATTTATGTTTATGGTTTTAAAATATTGTAATTATGTTTATCTTACATATGCTTGATTTGTTTTGTATCAAGAGCAACACAATGCTATAAATAAATCATATTTAGGCTTAGGTTCCTTTTGGTGTGGCTTCCGGTGCTCCAGCTCCAAAGAGCACTGTGTAATACCGTAGCTACTGTAGCACATGGAAAAAAAATCGTCTCCTCCTCCTTCAGTAATGAATTGAGAAGTGGAGGGTCCGAAGAAGCTAGAGTTTGGGTCCCGACTGGCTCTACTACCACTACGCCAGATTCTTACAGCAGGAACGGGGACATTTTTACTGTAGGGGCGGCTGGGGTTGGGGGCGCCCCTACAGTGGGCGTCCTCGGCCCTAGCAGCCTAGCCGCCTCTACAGATGTCACTATAGGGGCGGCTGGTAACCTGAGCCGCCCCTACAGTTAGGGCTGATCTGTAGGGGCGGCTCAATCACCAGCCGCCCCTGCAGCAGATGTCACTGTAGGGGCGGCTGGTAACCTCAGCCGCCCCTATAGTTAGGACTGATCTGTAGGGGCGGCTCAATCACCAGCCGCCCCTGCAGCAGATGTCACTGTAGGGGCGGCTGGTAACCTGAGCCGCCCCTACAGTTAGGGCTGATCTATAAGGGCGGCTCAATCACCAGCCGCCCCTGCAGTTCTGACTGTAAGGACGGCTGAATCACCAGCCGCCCCTACTGATGGCGCACGAATAAATATCAGCCACCCTCTTCTTCCACCTAGGGACACACTCTTCTACACACAAAAAAAGGTTGGGAGGCCTTGGGCTCCTCCTAAAAATTGCTCTACTAAGGGGGGAGGTTTTGATCTCAAATTCTTTGGTGGAGAGGCTCTAAAAGGTAAGGAAATGTGTCTCTAACTCTTTATTTAAGTTTAATTCGTTGGTTAGTGAGTAATTTGATTTTAGGTTTTCTCTCTCTTCCATGGAGCTTGAGCTAGTTATGAGTGAAATTAGACCCTAATTTTCACTATACTAGGATAAATTAGGTAGGAAAGTAAGGTTGCACCCTTTATTAGTACATCTTTGTTGATTTTAGTGTAGTATTAGTGAAGTTTGATGCATGTGTCATGAAACCCTATATCTAGATCTAGGATTTTGTTTTTTTTTCTTTTTCAATTTTTCCTTTATGTGACTAGGGTTTGCATGTAGGTGAATGTGTAAGATTTTAATTGTTGCTAATGTGCAAAATATTCTCTACCATGGCTACTAATTATCATTTAATATTTATTTTGATTCATTTCTATAATGTGTGTTTTTAATTAGTTATGGATAAATAGGCCATTAATTAATTATCCTCTACCATGAAATTGGAATGGAGTTTGCATGAAAGGTAGTGGATGAAATATTAAATGTTGCTAATTGTTTTATTTGAAATTGTTTATTTGAACCAATTAATTTATATTTTAAAATATTTATGCATTAATAGTCAATTAATTAACTATCCTCTACTACGATGGTGCGTGTCTCAGGTATATACAATTATTCTCGAGTAATATTCTTTCTTTGGTTATTTTATTTCTATAAGATGGACTACAGGAACTCTTGGATGTATGGTTCGTTAAGACACGACGCTCTTTTCCGTGATGAGGTGGACAAATTCATCAAAGCCGCAGAGAAGCATGCAGCGATGTTGAAAGAGAATAGCGACACGATTATTTGTCCCTGCAAAGATTGCAAGAACCTTATTGCATTTCGAGATGTGAGTACCATCGAAGAACATCTTATTAGAAGAGGATTTGTTCCGGACTACACAGTATGGATTCATCATGGTGAAACAGTGGTTGTTGATGACAACGACGATGATCTAGCTGATGAAGCTGAAACCCAAGCATACTTGTCCCGATTCACAGACGATCTTGAGCAACAAATGGATCGTGACTATGGTCATCAACAAGGTGGTGGCTTTGGCAATCAACAAGGTGGTGGCTTTGGCAATGAACAAGGTGGTGATGATGCTGGTGGTGCCAGCAATGATGGCGAAGCACGTGAGGGGGATGCAGATGACGATGACAACTTAGACGAAATGCTTGGGGCCTTTGGACCAGAAATATTAGAAAAGAGCAAGAGAGGTCTAGAAAATCTTGAGAGGGTGACAAAAGCATCGAAGAAGACTGTGTATGATGCTGAGAAGGGTTGTCCGACATACTTCACACTGCTACGTTTTGTGCTTGAGCTACTCATCCTGAAGGCTAAGTACGGCTGGTCGGACTGCAGTTTCGATGATCTGTTGTGCCTCATGTCACGGTTGCTCCCACGGCCAAACACAGTTCCCGCCAACACATACCAAGCGAAGAAGGTTATAAGTCCACTCACATTGGGGGTTGAAAAAATCCATGTATGCCCCAACCACTGTATCCTTTTTTGACGTGGCACATCGTTCGAGACTTTAGATACATGTCCTAGGTGTGGGGCTAGTCGGTATAAGAACAATGACCTTCAAAGTGGGGTGGAAGCCTCCACAGGAAAGAGGAAGAAGGGTGGGAAGAAGGTGGTGCAAGAATCTCAGCCCCTAGAGGAAACTCCATTAGGCAACGATACAAATAAGAGAAGAATTCCTGCCTTGGTTATGTGGTACTTGCCAATGATCGACTGCTTAAGGCGTATGTTCCTAAACCCTAAGGAAGCCGCACTGATGACATGGTGGGATGATGAGCGCAAGGTGGATGATGATACGATCGCACACCCGACCGATTGTAACCAGTGGCAAGCGTTCGATGCCAAGTACAAAGCAGAATTCAGTGATGACCCACGGAATGTACGGTTCGGCTTGAGCACCGATGGAATGAATTCCTTCAATGAGAGGATGACCGACCACAGCACATGGCCAGTCATCTTGACCATGTACAACCTCCCAACGTATTTGTGTCAGAAGAGGAAGTACCTTCTCCTCACCATTCTTATCTCCGGCCCCAAACAACCAGGCATTGATATAGATGTGTTCTTGGAGCCTCTGATGCAAGAAATGGAGAGGCTATGGAGGTATGGGGAGCCGATGTACGATGCGTTCCGGCGGGAGAACTTCATATGCAAAGCAATAATATTTGTTACTACATTTATGTATGTAAGACTACATTTATGTATATGTGTTTGAAACTACATTTATGTGATAAAGTGATACCCCAAATGATTTCAGTTGAAAAAGTGATAAATACCAAAGTTGAATAACTCATCAAGATCTACAACTTTTGTATTGGTCATTTCTTCATATGACAAAGTGGTAATGATATTGTTCACAAATGTGACACATCTCTCGTAAGGTTTTATAAACTATGTGAGACATGTGTAAGATTAGTGAACAATGTGTGCTAAGAATTTATCAAATGAATAAATGACCAAAATAAAAGTTGTAGATATTCATGAGTTGAACAACTTTGGTATTCATCACTTTTTATGTTGAAATCAATTTGGGTCTCAAATTTTGGTTCGAACTTGTTGTTTTTCAATATTTCAAATTTGAAAGGTTCAAATTTTGTGAAATGACAAGATGACTAAAATAAGAGTTGTATATATTAATGAGTTGAACAACTTTGGTATTCATCATTTGTTATGTTAAAATCATTTTGGGTCTAAAATTTTGGTTCGAACTTGTCATTTTTCAAATTTAAAAATTTGAAAGGTTCAAATTTAGTCAAATGACAAGATGACCAAAATAAAAGTTGTAGATCTTGATGAGTTGAACAACTTTTGTATTCATCACTTTTACATCTGAAATCATTTAGGGTTTGAAAATTTGGTTTGAACTTATCAAATTTCAAATTTCAAATTTTAAAACGTGTAAACATTGTCACATCCAAGTTTGATCATACTTAAATGCTGAAGCATGATTTTAGAAATTTTTAGGAAAAAAAACCATCACATTTGGAGTTAGTATGAGGGAGAATAACTAGTTACAAAGTTTACCCACAGATTAAAAAGAGAAATCACATTGTTCTAGATGATTCTTACATGATCATAGTGAATAGTGTGATTTCTTTTTTTAATCTGTGGGTTAACTTTGTAACTAGTTTTTCTTCCTCATACTAACTCCAAATCTGATGATTTTTTTCCCTAAAATTTTCTAAAATCATGCTCTATCAATTTATTTTGTTGGTTTTGTCAATATATACATATGAAAAGTTTGAGCAATGTAAATTTTAAATTTTAAAAAAAATGCAACTTCAGACAAGATTTTGGTACCCCAAATGATTTCAGCTGAAAAAGTGATAAATTCCAAAGTTGAATAACTCATCAAGATCTACAACTTTTGTATTGGTCATTTCTTCATATGACAAAGTGGTAATGACATTGTTTACAAATGTGACACATCTCTCGTAAGGTTTTATAAACTATATGAGACATGTGTAAGTTTTGTGAACAATTTGTGCTAAAAATTTATCAAATGAATAAATGACCAAAATAAAAGTTGTAGATATTCATGAGTTGAACAACTTTGGTATTCATCACTTTTTATGTTGAAATCAATTTGGGTCTCAAATTTTGGTTCGAACTTGTCGTTTTTCACAATTTCAAATTTGAATGGTCCAAATTTTGTCAAATGACAAGATGACTAAAATAAAAGTTGTAGATATTAATGAGTTGAACAACTTTGGTATTCATCACTTTTTATGTTGAAATCATTTTGGGTCTCAAATTTTGGTTCGAACTTCTTGTTTTTTAAAATTTCAAAATCGAAAGGTTCAAATTTTGTAAAATGACAAGATGACCAAAATAAAAGTTGTAGATCTTTATGAGTTGAATAACTTTTGTATTCATCACTTTTACATCTGAAATCATTTAGGGTTTCAAATTTTTGTTCGAACTTGTCATTTTTTAAAATTTCAAATATTTTAAAATTTTGGTTCGCCCTCTCCATGGTACAAATATTTCTATCTCTTCCTACAGCCCACGCATACACCTTTCAGCCAACCCGCACCTTCTAGGCACGAACACACGCATCTTATCCCAGACGGACGCATTACCTTCCCCTGCTGCTGCTCGTCCTCCGTCGAGCCGATTCCCTCGCGCCGCCTGGGATTGTCCGGTCTCACTTCTGCTTGCCCGCCTTGCGCCCCGGCCTCTGGACTTGCGGAGGCGCCCTCCATCTTGGTCGTGCGGCACTCTCGGATGCATATTTTCCCCTGAATCGGATGAAGGGCGAACCCTAGCTGGCGACAGACATGGGGGAAGCGCAGCAGCCACCATGACCCCATCTCCATTGTGGAATCCGTCCCCGCCAATCAACTCCCTACGTCTCATGGCCAAGGTTCCCCACTCTCCCCTTCCTCCCGCCTAGGATTTGTTCTGCAGACGGGCCTAAACCCTCTTTGTTGGTTCGCAGGGCCTCACGGCGGAGCTGGAGGAGGAGCCGCCGCTTCGCATTCGACTCCACGGGTTCGGTGGGTTGGTGCAGCAGCTCGGCCCAAAGTGCCGTGGATTTCAGGTAAACCCCAACCTTTGCGCCCGTGGGCGTTGCCTAGTGGCGATGTTTTATTCGGTGTTTGAACCGTGATTGGTGAGGAGTGTTGACGCCGGTCTTTGTCTTTGGTTGGCAAGATGCAGGATGTCAAGGGCTCATCCAAGAGCTTCCCCAAGCACGAGGTGAAGCATGTCTCGACCATAAGGTGCGTATGGTTCCAATTTTCCTTGCTAATTTACTACTTGAAACAGCTTTTGTGTCAGTCTCCTGCTTATCTCGGATATTTACTACTATTCTTGCACATTTTGCACTTGTCACAGCATACCATGATTATGTATATAACTTGAGATTGACCCATCCATATATTTTACTGATGTTCATTGGCTTATTATCAAGTTACCATTGTACTTTTTCCAGAGAGCGCTGCCGGTGCTTGCGAAATTTAGTCCTGATGGAAAGTATTTTGCAACCGGGAGTGCTGATACATCCATTAAGTTTTTGAGGTAAAATTGTCGAGTGCTAAGTGGGCTTGTGCTGTTTTGTACTTAGTTGCAACTTGCAACTCACTATTGCTCTCTCTCAGGTTGCTAAAATTAAGCAGACTATGGTAGGGGACTCCAAAGATGGTCCTGCCAGGCCTGTGATTCGCACATTTTATGATCACACACAGGTGGGCATGTATTGTTCATATACGCCAGTTTATTTACTGTTTAAGGTCATGAGACTCTTTTCAACACTTCCACAAGATTGCTCCTGAGTTAGGTCTCCTGTAGTATTTTTTTCCTTGAATATGCGGAGAGCTGCATATCATTGCATTATCTAAAGACTGAAATGCATGGGTAGATCAAATCCACCTGCCACCACACTTATATACACATGCTCAACTCACATTTAGCACACTGGATGCACACCTAGCACATGCAGTTTATAGTTAGATATTTGCTTACTGAGCTGTTTGGAGCATTGACATGGTATTCAATTTTTTAGTAAACAACTCCATTTTTCACTAGTTGCTTATTTTATTTTCCATCGCTCGAATTTCCACTGTGCTCATAAATATGATTGATTTCTTGCAGGCCATCAATGGTCTAGATTTTCATCCTAAGAGTCCAATACTGATATCAGCTGCAAAAGACAATACAATAAAGTATGCTTATCCTTAATGTCTACACTCCTTTCTATTAAATTGTCTATTTGAAATGCTCATACTGGGATTAAGCATGATTCTTATTTTTTAGGATTTTTTTGTGGTATTAATTGCTATCTGTGTTATTGTTTTGTACATGAAAAAATTGCTCAACAGATTCTTTGATTTCTCAAAAACCAATGCGAGGAAAGCGTTCAGAGTTATTCAGGTTGTAAATTCTAGGAACCTAATCTATGTATATATCATGTAAAATGGCGTGTTCATTGCATTTAACCAGGCTCAATTGTTAATGCTTGGCAGGATACTCATAATGTTAGATCTGTATGTTTTCATCCTTGTGGGGATTACCTTTTAGCAGGTACTATGATCTTTTCACTTAATTTAAATTTAATTTCTACTTCTGTTGTTATTAACTGATTCGTGATTTTTGACATCATTTTGTTTTGCTCTGATTTTTATGCATTATAAGTTTTTAACATGCTTTCAGTTGTTATCTGTAAAGTAATTTAATTATTTCACCAAAACAATTTGATATCCAGGCCCATGAATTTGGATTTCGTTCCTGGATCAACAGTTCCTTTCTCTTGGGCATTTGAAAAATACTGCAAGCATATCTTATGGAATTTTCTTCTTTCTTATAGTCAAATATTTTCATCCACATACGTATTTTAAAAAAATAACTCATTTTTCATATATTGATGAATATCGTGGAAGCAAGTGACACTGATAAAGTTATTTGCAGGGACTGATCACCCAGTTGCTCATTTATATGATATAAATACTTTTACATGCTACTTATCAGCAAATGCACAGGATTCTAGTTCTCCCATTAACCAGGTAGCTTTTCTCTTTCCTTCTGATTCACAAGCATTATATTGCATTGGTTATATTCTCATCAAAGGTTAATTTTACTCCGCTAGCCGTGCTTACTGATGTCGCTGCCAGGTACGCTACTCTTGTACTGGGAGCTTGTATGTTACTGCTTCTAAAGATGGTTCTTTGCACATTTGGGATGGAGTATCTGCTGAATGTGTTCGACCTATTACTGGAGCACATGGATCCGCAGAAGCTACTAGCGCAATTTTCACCAAAGATGAGAGGTAAGCGAGCTACCAGTCTGTCTAAGGTGCTCTTCCCTCAAGATAAGATCCAGTTATTGTTTGGTTTGAAGAACAGAGAGGCAGGCATATGCTGTATGTTTGATTCAAAACAGTAACTACCTCAAACCCTGTTTGGAATGTGAGAATCTTGTAGTAATTCTGAATGATTTGTAGCATGTCCTGGTGAATTTCCTGTGTTTCAGACAGGTCTTAACTTTATCACATGAATAGCAACTAACAGCTCTTTCTCCTTTGCCCTAATGTTTCACCACTAAACAACTAACCTGCCTATAAGCACTTTTGAGACTTCTTCTGAAAGGCCTAGTGTTTATTCTAGTTGTATTTACTTGCTGTGATTTTGTGAAACCAGTGTCAAAATGTTTAGTGTGAATTGGTGTACTTCCTGAAAATGCTTAAATATATGTCAGAGTTGAGAAAAGATTGTTGTTACTTGATTTGAATTATATATATATATATATGTGGTCAGATTTGAATTTAAATTATTTATTTTTTTTGCTGGAAAATCCACTGTAGGGGCGGCTGGTGATACAGCCGCCCTTACAGAAGTCCACTATAGGGGCGGCTGATATTACCAGCCGCCCTTATAGAAGTCCACTATAGGGGCGGCTGATATTACCAGCCGCCCCTACAGAGGTCACTGTAGGGGCGGCTGAAAACACCAGCCGCCCCTACAGAGGGCACTGCAGGGGCGGTCAGAAAACCGCCCCTACAGAGACACCCTCTGTAGGAACACCCTGGGAAGGGCGGCTGGCGCAGCCGCCCCTACAGAGGCTCTAGAGCCGCCCCTACAGTTAAATTCTGTAGTAGTGTACAGTACTAGCCGGTCAGAGCTCTTCCAAACATGCACTTAATCATGGCTGATTGAAAGCATTACAAAGTTTAGGCGCAATTAAATAATGGACAGATTGTACAAGCTATCTGTTCAGTTGTCTCTATTTGAAGTTTAAAGAATTTAAAGGCAACAAATTGCATGTGGGTTGTACATACCGCAATCTAATCTCTGACCTTGAGATCTACAGTATTGAATGAGTTTAGTAAAATTTACCACGACAAATCTATCTTAATAATGCACTTATTTGATAGTGTTTTAGTGGTATATATACTCAACAAGAAAAATCAGCAAGTTTGTTAAAAAAAATAAATTCAGCAAGTGTGATAGATTCGGTTCCTACATTTGACATTTTGCTAGTCTATGAATGTGCAATTACGAGGTAGGACTTTGCATAGCAGTATTGTAATACTATCGGTGTGGCTAGCGCCCGGATGTCTGCACGCCCGCGCAGCCCGCCCCTGATTCTCCCCGCCCTGCGCGCACACTCCGCCCCGTCGCTCCTTCCCCCTAATCCCCTCCGATCTCTCCACACGGGCATGACTCGAGAGCGAGGATGAACGATGAGCACGCCCGTACGCAGGCCCCGACGCTTTGCATGCCCCCACAGCGCGGCCCCTAGCATGCCCCGTCCGCAGGCCCCCGGAACGCCGCATTCGTAGGCCCTCATCTCGCCTTGTCCGGGGGCTGCCCATCACTCACCGCGCCCCCGTGACTCTCCGAACAATATGAAACATTTGATTGCAACATACGTCTAAAACAGATGAAACATTTAGAATATACACTTGCCACATAAGTGTGAAACATATGCAACATCCAGATAAAACACTTGCAACTTGCAACATGAAAACACTTGCTGCAGCATAGACTGAAACTGATGAAACATTTGTAACATACGTGCGAAACATATGTAACATCCAGATTAAAACACTTGCAACATACATCTAAAACAAATGAAACATTTTGAGAAAATGCTTGCAACATACCTTTGAAACACTTGCAACATATGCAAAATCCCGATCTACTTTTGCAACGCCCATATAAAAGACTTGAAACATGCCTCTGAAGCATCTAAAACACTTGAAACATACATTTGCAACGTAGGGAAGGCGAGGCCAGGGCCGGTCGATTCCGGCCATTGGGGTGGGATCCGGCGGCAAGCGGTGGTGCGCGAGCACCACCAGCACACTGGCCATGCTCGTGGGTGTCCTTGGCTCGGCCGGGGACGACCTAAGGTGCCATGGTACGTGCGCCCAGCGACCATCGGTAGGGGCAGCAGTAGTGCCTGTGGCAGTGAGGCATGCATCCCGATGGCGCTGGGGTTGGGGAAGAGGCCGGGGAGGCGCTCTGCTGCCAGCGGACGCGCACGCACGCGAGAGAGAGAGAGAGACAGACCAAGAGATAGGGAGGGCAAGAATGGGGAAAGCAGAAGCAGGTGGCACACGTGACGGCGTGGGAGCAAGCGGCGTGGGTGGGACGCGCGACAGGCGGGAGCGAGGAGGGAAGGGCATGGGTGGGGCGCGCGATGTGCAGTAGCAAGGAGCGAGCGCGCGTGGGACGGGCCGCACAGCGGCGGGGGTAGGCGGCAGCAGCGAGGCGGAGTGGGGCGTGCGACATCGAGACGGACGGACATCCAGGTCTAATCATTATCGTAATACTATTGTTGCTTATCGTCCTGTACTCCCTATGTCCCTTTTTATCTATCTTTCTCACTCTCCGAGAAATCAAACGTACTCAACTTTGACTAAAAACATTAATATTTATGGTACATAATTAGTGTCATTGGATAGATCTTTGAATATAGTTTTTTTAATAAATTTATTTGGAGATATCAATGTTGTTAATATTTCTATAAATCTAGTCAAACTTAAAAAAGTTTGACCGACACGCATTCCACGATGAGAAATAAAATAGGGATAGAGGGGGTATCTTTTTATTCTTTGACTAGCAAATATGCTCGTGGATTGCTATGGGTATATTTTTTTAAATAGTGATGTATATATTTTCTAAAACAAGTCAAAAATGTTTTTAATCTTTGTGTAAGTTTTGATTTTTTTTTCATTATCACAAGGAGCCATTTATGGCTCCAATTACTGCAATTGTTTCCATGGATTTTTGTGTTTTATAAAAGTACCTCTTTTTTATTTGGCACATGGAATGCTATGCAACACTTGGTTTTTTTTGAAGGACGTTGACAGTGTGGGGGTCTTTCTTAAAGAATCCATGAATGTTTGGAGGTAGTAGAAACTGGATTTACAATATACAATAGGGAGCGTTCGATCTTCACCACATGGTAAAAATAGAATCTGAGTGTGGATCCGCTTAGAAAAACTTGTGTACGGGTAGACAGATCATTTGGACAGATAAAGTTGAAAATGTTTGGGTTTTTTTTGGACACAGCTAATGCACGGGCAGCCAGAATTAGGTCAGCCGCACGGCCGCCTTCCTCCTCGCGCCAAGCACCCTGCATTCCTTGCCCGCCGCCCCACCTGCTTGCCTGCCTCGCCACTCGGCAACGCCACCCACCTTCCCAGTCCTGCCCCTCGACTCCACCCTCCTCCTCCTCCTCGCCCCGCCATTGCCCACTGTCCGCAGCGACCTCCTTCTTCCCCTCCCCCTCCGACCGCCACCTTGGCCATAGGCGCCTCGCCTCGCCCCGACCTGGCCCGGCCCCCTCCACCGCCGCCAGAACCCTAATGCCGCCCTCCCATTATCCCCACTGCCTAGCCAGCCTGCCTCCCCTAGGCCCCTTCTCTTCTAAGCCCACGGGAGTCAGGGAAGAAGAGAGGGAGAGGGGGAGAGAGAGAGAGAGAGAGAGAGAGAGAGAAAGAGAGGGAGAGGAGCCCGGTGGAGTTTGGGAAGATGCTGTGGTCGGGTGTGGGCATCTGCCATCGGAGTCGGGAAAGACGACGCGTGAGCGCGTGAAAGGATAAGGTGGCCTGCCTCTCGCGTGAGGGTTGGAGCATGTGGCCGTACAAACGAAAAAAACGCTGGTATGAAGTCTTTACCCTGTTTTAGCTTGTTCTTCTTCTTATAGTAGATTTTGTTGATTTTATTATCCTTGTGCCTAGGCATGGTTACTTTCCTTTTCTCTTTAATAAAAGAAAGATTATGTTTGGCTTTTATAATTGTATAATGACGAGTGGGACCCACACAGTCATCATTTAAATAAATGGAAATCCCAATCGGTCCTCATCTGTTCTTCCCTCCGGTCGGCCCGTTGCCCCACGGGCAAATCCACTTCTTCTCCCCTTCACTTTCTATTCTTCTCGATTTTATGTTCCCATAGAATTCTTTTTTTCTTACCGAGTTCATCAATGTTTGTAACCTGGTTTTCAAGTGCCTATATGCCACCTCCTGCATGTACGTCTTCACGTGCATCAATCCTGGCATCTTCCTGATGTATAGCGGCTTCATTGAGGTTAATTAAGGTATGTCGATCTCCATCATATGGTTCAATGTTGATATCCACGACGTTGATTTCTTTGTTTGTATTACAATTGGACGATGGAAATTGGAGTGTTGTCTTGCCGTCTAAATGCTTGCTTTTTAGGGGGTTTATGCTCTCTAGGGTAGTTTTTTTTTTCATTATATAGTAATGGAATTGTTGTATATCTATTTGGACAAGGACCATAATCCTATACGGAATCTGTAATTGGTATAAAAGTTATACATAGTTCTATTTAGACAAGGACCATAGTCGTATACAAACTCTGTAATTGGTATAGAGTAGAATTCGGACAATTGTTTTTTGTTCTCTATATAATATATCATTATTTAATTCCAGACATTTTTTTGTTCTCTATATATCTATAATATATTATTATATAATGTTGGGCAAGTATATTATTATTTAATGTTGGACAAGCCGGTCTTGCTAGGCTCTTTCTTTGCTACTTTGACGGAGAGTATTATTATTTTTATTCTTCGCTACTTTTTTTTGAGCAAAACAGGAGGGGAAGCCCCCTACTGAACTCATTTTATAAAATATAAGTCTGTACAAAATACAAAGAACTGTACAAAAGGGAAAGAACAAAACTAAAAAGAAGACAACCAGTCACTAAGAAGAGATTTCTTAGTTGACTTGGACCTAAGAATGGTCAAAGAGAGTTCAGCACGAAATTGCTCCTTCCAGCACCGAAGAGAGGGCATCT